AAATATCTTCCGAGGTATTTGAATAAATATGGTATTTTTAAAACACATTGTATCTCGGAAACTAAGCATGTCCAGGTTCATGTTCATGGAAATTTTTTGTCTTACTTTGATAAGTCAGGTTAGGTTTGGTGTGCCAAATTGAGGGACCCTGTATTAGAAAATTGCATCGTTTTCGACAGAATAGTCTCTTAAAAAAACAGCACATATTTTTTTGTCTGAAGGTTAATTCGATGCCTATACAGATATTTTAATATTGTTTTTAAACCCCAGCAATGAATATATCGTTTGGAATTTTTTGAAGAAATGTGGTACATACACTGAAAGAAATGCGCTTTATTCTTTATTAGAATTCTGTCATTATAAGACCATTATTTACTATATGTGACAGATATACAGGTGAATAGTGAATATAAAACGCGTATTGCTAGCACAGTTGTATAGTGACTATAAACCTTATTCTTTATTAAATTATTGTATAACTAGTATACAACGTTTTTTATACCCTGTACGAAATAATAGCAATAACTGTTATTAAAGTGTTCCATATCGTTATTAGAACATCTAGTACTGGTTATAAGTTTTATAATAATAAATGTATTAAACTGTCTCTATCTACTCTGTATGAGTTAAAAACATATGATATTACGTTTTCAAAAATTTTATTGTAGAACTGTAATTACAAGCTAAGGTTCTAATGTAAACATATAACAAACATTTAAATATTAAAAATAATGACAAATCGCTCCCAAAACTGTCCAGTTTATTTTCTTAGTAACGATGCCCCCGTACTTTCTCGTACTACATGAGAATTTGCACTATAACTCTTCCACCTTGAGAATGAAGCATCCCCTGAAAGGTTGAGCTTCTTCACTGAAAGAAATGGGCTTATTAAACTGTTTATCTAGAATAATGTGTATAGCGCATATTAAAACTTTTATAACCAATATACAACTTTTATTAAAAAAAAGCAATCATCTCCATACTCATTATTCAATCAGTTTAACTGGAAGGTGCTTAATACACCTTATGCATCTATGAAATAAAGGTTATAATGAATTACTTATACATTATTAGGTGTTATAGACTTTATATTCCAGTTGTATAGTAGGGAAGATTTGTTGTATAAAGACCAGTATCCGAATTTGTATATAACAATTGTATTAACAGAATTATTCGTTCTTATACTGAATATGTTTCCGTTTTTAACGTGTAAAACGCATCTTATAATGGTTAAGTGATCGTCACCTCTCGGTGCATAATCGGTTATGATCGTTGTTAAGTTATATTCATAGTCTTGTAATAATAATCATATGTCAGACCCGAGAGCGAAGTGCGCCGACTCAATAAGAAACCTGGCTATTCCAGCCGCTGATTTAGGGTTCGCCGCACGAGCTCATCCCTTCTAAGATTTCAGTAGCATGCTATGCATGAAGCAGAACGGTACTCAACTATCTTATACAGTCCACTTTTATTGTCCATACATGTTCAATCATTGTCAAAATAAACACACAAAACCACAACGTCTTTATTATCTTTACTCAAGAAGAGAAAATACAACAATCGTAAAATTTCCGACAGTCCGCTGTGCATCGACTTACACACGTCTAGTTTGATGAAAATGGACAGTATATGCACATGTTTTGTGGGATACATGATCATATCGCGTTGTGTGAAATGGAAAATTATTATGTAAGTATCTAACTGTTTTATGGCTTGTAATTGTTTTGTTTTTTCAAATGTAAATCTTGTCTAAATCTTAAAAATTATTATTTTGTAGGTCCTATTAGAAATCGCTGATGTTAAGTTTTACATAAGATGGAGGAACAGAAGGTTAACGGTGACAAAGAAGAGCATGGGTATAAAGTCAATCAACCAGAGGAAATAAAATTATATGGAAAGAAGCTCAACCTTTCTGGGGATGCTTCATTCTTAAGGTGGAAGAGTTATAGTGCAAATTCTCATGTAATACAAGAAAATACGGGTGCATCGTTGCTAAGAAAATAAACTGGACAGTTTTGGGAGCGATTTGTCATCATTTTTAATGCTTAAAAGTATGTTTTATGTATGTTTACATTAGAACCTTAGCTTGTAATTACAGTTATCCAATAAAATTTCTGAAAACTTAATGACATATGTTTTTAACTCATACAGAGTATACAACAGTTTAATACATTTATTATTATAAAACTTATAACCAGTACTAGATGTTCTAATAACGATATGGAATACTTTAATAACAGTTATTGCTATTATTTCGTAAAGGGTATAAAGAACGTTGTATACTAGTTATACAATAATTTAATAAAGAATAAAGTTTATATTCACTATACAACTGTGCTAGCAATACGCGTTTTATATCCAATATTCACCCGTTTAACTGTCACACATAGTATACAATAGTCTTATAATGGTATATAGAATTCTAATAAAGAATAAAACGCATTTCCTTCAGTGTTTTCTTCTAATTCTATTTCCTCTGGTTGATTGACTTTACCCATGCTCTTCTTTGTCACCGTTAGCCTTCTGTTCCTCCATCTTATAAAACTTAACATCAACGGTTTCTAATAGGGCATACAAGATAATAATTTTTAAGATTTAGACATGATTTACATTTGAAAAACAAAACAATTACAAGTCATAAAACAGTTAGATACTTACATAAATTTCCAATTTACACAACGCGATGTGATCAGGTATCCCACAAAACATGTGCCTACACTGTTTATTTTCATCAAACTAGTCGTGTAAATAGTCGATGCACAGCGGACTGTCGGAAATTTTATACGATCATAACCGATTATGCACCGAGAGGTGACGATCACTTAACCATTATAAGATGCATTTTACACGTTAAAAACGGAAACATAATCAGTATAAGAACGAATAATTCTGTTAATACAATTGTTATATACAAATTCAGATACAGGTCTTTATACAACAAATCTTTCCTACTATACAATTGGAACATAAAGTCTATAACACATAATAATGTATAAGTAATTCATTATAACCTTTACTTTATAGATGCATAAGGTGTATTAAGCACATTACCGTTGAATAATGAGTATGCAGATGAGTGATTTTTTTTAATAAAAGTTGTATATTTGTTATAAAAGCTTTAATATGCGTTATTCACATTATTCTAGATAAACAGTTTAATAAGCCCATTTCTTTCAGTGTAATAACTTTGGGGTTCCCGATTAACATGCTTGGATTAACGTGGATTATTTTAGGATAAAGAATTTATTAATATAGGTTTAAAAAAATTGAGATTTGTAAAAAATGAGTGACTATCTTTGTATTCATACCAGAATTAAAAAAAATTAAATATCAAGACAAAAACAAAAATTCTAAATTCTAAAGTTACTAAACTACTTCAACGCTGACACACTGTAGTCGATATGTACATAGAGAGTATAAAATCATGGATATTTAATACAAAAAGCTAGTATTTTCTAAATTTGATGTTCCTTTAGAAGCAATCGTAAGCACGAATGTAATTTTCGTCAACCAATTTGTGGAGTAGTGCAACAATAAAGTGAAATCTTGTCGCATTTTCATTAAAATGAACTAATTAACTTAGAACTTTAACACCAACTGCAAGACAGTCAGAACAGCTGAATAATGAATAGTAATACAATAAAGAGGAATTCATTCCCCGCGTTGGTTGTCACTTTAAAGGAACCCCTCGCTTGTGTACATCGGCGCGATAGAACCGACGCAACATCAAAATAAGCGCTGAAACTGAAATGAGTTAAATAATTCAGGCATAACCGCCCGCAACAAGTAAAAGTGACAATTAAGTGAATGTGCGACAGCCACCCTAATGCGTCAGAGATTTCGTAAGGGGGTGTAGATGCTTGTATGCCGAGGTCTTACCAACACTGAAACTTCATATAATATGCACGGGCACGTTCCACACATTAATTGGACCAGGTAAATTTGTTCGAAAATTGTATTCCACGACGTACTGAATAGCGCAAAACTTGGAGAGGCTCGACGACTGTGTAGATTGATGCGTTCATCAAGTAAACGTTACTACAATAGGACGGCTTCCTTTGCTGAAGTTCCGTATAAAATAAAATAAATTTAACCCTTTTGATTTTCATGTTTCATTGGAATTCTTCGAAGTAAAAGATGATGTAGTATACAGGATGTTTCATAATACTGTCTATACACCAAAAAATTCCCTAAAAAGTATTGTTTTTTAACCCCATTTTTGTGATTTTTTCGATTTTTACCATAATAATCATGATTCATTCGATTTGTAACCAGTCGTGTATTGTAAAAAATTTAATTACAGACATTTTTTTCCGCTTCCAACTTCGCCTAAAATCAACTCTTAAAAAGATACATAATTAAATAGGAAGAAAAATATATTGTGCCGTCAAAAGTTAAGCCCACGTTTTTTTTTATGCGCATAGAAAAAAAAATGTTCATTTCTAGTGATATTTGAAAACCAAAAAGCCAAAATTCGCCGTGGATATACGATTCACCCAAACCAAAACAGATACCGCCTGGTCTATTTTAATTAAGCGAGTTACAGGAAATAATTTTGCTTAATATTTTATTGTATTTGATAAAAAAAGAGCTATATTGAATCTTCCTCATAAAATTTTAGTGGGCATATAGCTAATATTTATGTATCTACTAAAATTAATCAAATATTGACTGGGCTTTTAAATTATTGAAATAAAAAAAAATGAAACATTCTTCTGCATAATTTCTTTATACGGAAACTCATCTGAGATTGGAAAACGCAAATAATTTTAATTGACTTTATTAAGACTAAAGCTTGTCTCCGTAAGTTATGTGAATGTCAACTTATGATTTTCAAATGTCAAATACTTATGTCAGAGATTTGGCATCGAATCAAAATTATTAATAAAACTTGCTTGCGAAGATTAAATGAATTTAAAACAGAGACTAATCAACCTGTAAGTAGTCAGAACATCACAACAGCAACAGAAAATGTAAAATGAATTTATAAAGCTATGAAAATGGCCCCGTACGTATTATTTGGCACATTACCGAAAATACTTAGACAAAGCTTTGTCGTTCAGCAAACTGTTAAACCTCTTGGAATCTATCACAATGCATTGTACTCCAACTTTACGAAAAATAATTTACCACCATCTGACAACGAATATGGAGAAAATTCCAAGAAAGGAAAGTCATGGAAAATATTGAAAACTATACTGCCCATTTTGGCAATATCAATAACATCTTCCCTGGCAATTTCCCTAGTTTTAACTCTTGGTGCTCCAGAGATAGATACAGACGGAAAGTTATTAAAAGACGACTTTTCCGATGAACCTGAACTAAGACAGTACCTAAAAAGAACCTACAGAGAGATGAAATATTACTTTAAACTCCTAGAGAGGCCGCGCATGGAGAAATTATTACCTGATCCTCTAGATCATCCATACAACCAACCAAAATACACGTTGGTAGTTGAACTAACCGATGTATTGGTACATGCTGAGTGGACATATTCTGTGGGATGGAGATACAAAAAACGTCCTTTACTGGAACATTTTCTAGAAGATTTAAAAGACAGCTACGAAATAGTATTGTTCACTACTGAACACGGACGAACTGTATTCTCTCTGATAGACGTGATCGATCCAAATAACAGAATAGCTTTTAAACTGGTTGGAGGCGCAACACGTTTTACAGGTTTAAGTCACGTAAAAGAACTAAACAAACTGAACAGAGATCTTAAGAAAGTTATATGCATAGATTGGAATGCTAAAAGATTAAAATACAACCCAGAAAATTTGCTGAAAGTTAAGAGGTGGATAGGAAACGACGATGACACTTCGTTGCTGGACTTGGCAGCGTTTCTAAAGATAATCACGAGTAGCCAAATTGAAGATGTAAGAGATGTTTTAAAGTATTACAGTAAATATAATGATCCGGTTGAAGCATTCAGAAGAAAGCAAGAGATGTTAATTGAGGAGCTTGAAAAAGCTGCTGCTAAAAAGGGGGATCGTCGCAGAACCCAATCCGGCTTTAAATTATTTAGTTAATGAATAATTTATATTAACTTTTTAAAATATACGATTTGTTTTCCGTGTAAAAATTAAATTGTGTGTATCTCTATTACAATTATAGTAATTATAATTATAATTATTATTATAATTATAAT